TATATATATATATATATATATATATATATATATATATATATATATATGTGTGTGTGTGTGTGTATTTGAAACTGTTAATGTTACTAATATTCTAAATTGTACTTTACAAATTATACTTTACTTAAGTAACATTTTTTGTACTATATCTTGGATTTATGTAAGCATTTTGGGTGTATTTAACACAACTTCCCCGTGTTTTAAACTTAAATGTAATCACCAAAATTTAAGTTATTTCCCAGCAATATCTACTACCAGTTATAGATTGGTCATTTCCAGGTATTTCTGAATAATAACAGGTTTGCAATGTTTTTTTTTATTATTATTAATCATTAACAAGACTAGAATTATATACTGAAAAAATGTATATCCTAAACCAATAATAACAAACAGGCTATTCATGAAATTTCTACAGCTGTAGCAAATACGAGGAGGAAAAAAAATACAATGTTTGTATTCCCTAACGGAGCATTTGTGTTGCTGTTTTCTGCTGGTGAGTTCAGGGAGATGACAGGGGAAGGCTACCATATGGCCAGACAGGAAGGAGGGAGCGGGAGAGGAAGAGAGCAGCTCACTAAGGAGGGAGAAACAAGAAATGACTGGAGGTCTTGGAGGAGAAAAAGAGCAACTGAGGGGGGAGAGGGAGAAAAAAGAAGGATGGAAATGATGTGAATGGAGGAAAAGGAAACTAAGAAAACAGGGTGATGGTGAGGGGAGTCAGGGAGGAGGGGGTGTGGACTGAGATGAGAGATGGAGGTGGGTGGCAGAGCGTACAGCTTGGAAGCAGAGGAGGCGACAGTCGGGGGTGTTCACTGCTCAGCGATGTGTTATGATGCGACTCTCCCCCCATAACACACACACACACACACACACACATGCATTTCACTTAGAAAAACACAGATGCCGTTATTTATTCATGGAAATCTTGCTGTAAAAGATCAAGCTGGAAATATTCTTATGGTTGCAAAGAAACCCCTTTAAAGGCCCCGTGTTATCCGTCACTTTTTATGATGTTCTCCAACCTGTCCCAGTAAATCAGGCTCAGCCTTGGTCTTCATTCAGGGCGTGACATTCCTTGAAGGAATGCACACCGCCTGTCACCTCTCACGACAGAGTTTTAGGATAAAATGTTGACGAAATATGGAGTTGCGACCGTTTTTGTCAAACCTTAAAAAAATATCATGATCTCATGCACTACTTCTAAACATCACACTCGTGCGTGTTGTCTGTAAAATGGGCTAATCTGGCCAATGCCCATTAGCTGTGACGCCATCTTGAGTTGGATTGACTCTAAAAGTCAATCACTTGTAGATAAACATCCAATTACTTTTTGCAAGTTTCAATTAAATCTATCTTATGCCTCATTAGATATTTTACTAACAGACACAGAGTTGACTTCAGCGGTTAATGATAAATCTTTGAGCAAAGATCATGCGGAATGAGCAGCTCTTGAATTATGCGTTGTGTATAACTCTCAGCTACAACTACACCACAGTTTTAGAACAATGTCTGTGAAATGAACCAAATTGTATTTATTTTTCCTGTTTTCTAAGTTCAACTGCTGTGGTGGCCATCTTGAATTGGATTGGCTCCAAAAGTCAAACAGTTTTAGATGTACACCCAATAATTATTTCCTGAATGTTTAATTTAAATCCACCTGTTAGATCATGAGATATTTTGCCAACAGACAGAATTGACTTTAATGGTTAATGAAAAACATATGCAAAGACTGAGTACATTATTTTGTGGTCTGAATATCTGTTGTGGATCAGTTTCAGCTTGGCTGTGGTGGCCATCTTGATTTGGGCTGACTCAATAAAGGTACCGTATTTTTCAGACTATAAAGCGCACCGAAGGCACATTAAACAAAACAAAACAGTCAGATAAGTCAAACTTTATTCACCTCATTCATAAAATTGGTTCGAAGTCAGTAAGCACAACCAGAATGAATACATAAGGTGCACCGGATTATTCATTCAACCTTTATTTAGACAAGTAAATCCCATTGAGCCTCGAGGACTCATTTACAAGAGAGACCTGATATTATAAGGCTCACTGTTGATTTTTAAGAAAATTAAAGGATTTGAAGTGTGCCTTATAGTCCGAAAAATACGGTAATCAGCTGTGGCTACACATCCAATGATAACTTTCTGCAAGTTTCAACGTTTGTCCTGTTGGTAATAAGAAATTTGGGTAAACATGACACAGCGACCTTAAAACTGCTCACGTTATCGCCCACCTTTCGAGGGTGGGTGATGATTAAATGGTTTAATACTGTATGTGTGTGTATTTTGTAGGAACTGATACACTTTGGGTGCAGCACTGAGTGTTTGTGCCTCCAAGAAGGCCGATAATTAAATTGATCTTGTTCACGATCATTCAGTGCAGGACTGTGGTTCATCTTTGTGACATGCTTGGACATGATATGGTCCAAACTCTGTTAGGAGGATACATTTAGGCTTTTTGTCAATATTTTGTTTATTTAATGACAGATTTTTGATGATGGTTTGAATAGCGTTATTTTCCAAACCTTCTGGTTTACATATGTGAGCGTCAAACCAGATTCAAGTCCCAACAAATTTCTTAATAAACACACACACAGATCCACAGTCTTCCTCCCTCTCCAGCTCCTCACTGGCTCTCCCTCATTCTGGCTCTGTTGCCAAGGTTACCGCACAGCCTCTTGCTGCATCTACCTAGACGAAGCTGCCGCCTGTGGATCTCGCTCTCCTCCAGGATACAAACAAAAAAGAGAAGCGGAAGAAAAAAAACCATCAGACTTCTGCATCTGTCTCACCTACACACATGGAATCACAAACCGTATCTTTGTAGTTTGTGCCCTTCCAAACCTCTCTCTTGCGCTCTCTCTCTCACACACACACACGCACATACACACATCCTCAGCCTCTTGCTGTCGGTCTGTCTCCTTCACACATGCAAACACACTCCCTCTTCTCCCAGACAGAGGAGCAGTAAAGGGATTGGCGTGGATTTGGTGTTTGGCTCAGAGCGGAGCAGAGGAGCAGATAGCGATGTGAAGACGGGCTCAGTCAGGTAAGAGGACTTATCCTAACCAGACCCTTTTCAGTCTATGGCTGCTCCAGCTCTCCATCTCCTCCTCCTATCTCCCCACACACCCCTTTGTGGCTGTGCGACATGAGTTGAATACCAATTCCTCACCAAAGCCAGCACGGTTCTACTCTCCTGGCTTTATAGGAACATACATGTGATGGAGCTTCTGCATGTATGTGCTCATCCGCGGATGAATAATTTGCCAACATGTTGGCCCTTCAGTGCTGCCGTTATCTAAATATTTTACCTCCCAGACAACCTAACGCTTGGTTATTATGTCCTCTGTTCCACCATATGTGACAGTGTGGGAGTTAGCAGATAGAGACATGCAACAGTCCACCTCCCCGGGTGATTCATTCCTAATCCATCCAGCTCTGCGCTGTGTGGTCGCTCCAGCTCACCGTAACCATGTACGTGAGATGAATGGTGTTTTGTCCCAGTATGAATGACTGTCAAATAATGCCATTCCTGCACTGGAGCTTTGATGCAGCACAGTCATGTAACACAATCCCTTCTGTCTATGGGACTCCCGATTTACCTCCTGCAAAACAATTCACCTTGCTGCACATTTTAATCATGATGATTTGTAAGTTCTTGTGTTTATTAATAAGATTTGCAGCTGCCGCCTGATACTAGCTACAGGACAAATTGCTGAGGAAGCTGCAGGATTTCATTTTAAGGTCATTCTGAACTTTTGTGTGTGTGTTTTTTTTCCCCATCATCAAGGTTTGATCAGTGTGTGTTTGCGTGTATTTGGAGACAGGATGATGAGGCAGGTCTCACATTTCCATCCCATCATCACTTTCGGTAAGAGCTTTCCTTTTAGCGCGTACTGCTACATGATCACTGCAACAAAACACCCTTTTTAAAAAAAATAAAAGAATCCGTAAATATTTCCATCCATTTATCAAAGATTTCATTTAAAATGGGAGCACAAAGTAAATCAAGCTGTCTTGTTTTAAAAATCACAGGAGAAACAGCGTATTTGCATGTATTGTTTTCCACACATAATTCCAGAGAATATGAAATATCCATTAAAGCAGAAGCCAGCTGTCACCACATTAATTCCTCCTGTTCCCGTAAGAGCTTATCACAATGGGCAGCGCTCGGTCAGTCCTCGTCCTACGATCCTCCTGGGAAGAAAGCCACAGACTCACGGTATACCTCCGTTTAGATGCAGCTGGACAGCAGGTTCATGAATGGATGCGGATCAATGGAAACACTTTGCCCACACTATATGTGTAAACACTAAAGCACGGAAGACTTTAAGAGAGGATGAGGCTGAATCACCTGCCAGCTTTGACTTGATTACCCCAAAGACAGTCTGTTTGATTTCTATACATTGTATAATTTCATTACATGTTGACTTCATAAGAGTTCAGAACATCATCAAATACTGGCATCATATTAAAGCTGAAAGATGATGTTTTATTAACACACATAAGCCCCAAGAGTTATTTAGAGATTCCTACATTTTTAGGTCATTTACTTTAGTTTTATTCAAATAATGGAAATGTTCCTGAGCATTCCATGGACTAGTTTATTGTAAGTTTTAATGCGTGTTCTCTTCAACCCCCCCCCAGTCTTCGTCCACCAAAAATTTTCACTTGGAGAGGCCAATTTTCATACTTAGGTTTGTGAGAGGAAGAAAAAAAATGCCTTAAAGAGATTTTATTCAAAGTTTCACAGCTGTTTTTAGTGCACTTGTTTGTCTGGGTCTTGTTTATATGTAATTTATGGCAGTTTTATTATTTTTTTGCTAATGCACATGTATTTAGCTAATTTGTTTTATGATAAGTTATGGGGGAGTAGCAACTAAACACAAACTTCTTTTCCTTCTTCTTTTGCGCTGTATTTTTTTTTATCTGTTTTTGTTCTGTTGCGCAGATACAAAAATGGGAAGTAAAATAAAAATAAGCCCCAAAATTATTGTTAAAATTGTGTCACTCTCACAACTGAAATTCTGCTGCTGCATTTACATGTTGTATTCTTAGTCCTAGACTTAATTTACTAAAATATGTGGTGATTTTTTTAATTTTTTTTATTTCAAAATTACTGATTTGACAGGACATAACAGAAAATAATATGGGAGGGTGGATGGGTATCATAATTTTTAACGGGTTTTGGACATATTTTGTAGATTTAAAAATAACTAAACAATCTAAATATTACCAAAACACAGCTTGGGTTCAAAGTACCAACAGCAGTCTGCTAAAACAGACCGACTTTTCCTCCAAGACTTAAAGCAAAGAGAAGCAGAGATAATATTTTATATCAACATGGATATTGTCACTGCTCCCCCAGTGCAGATGTTTGTGTTTTTCATTTTCCATGCAGTGCGCCCGCCAAAGTGTGTGCATGAGTGCAACACAGAATATTCGTTGCCACAGTTACCAAAACGCCAACCTCACTGCGTCACCGCTTCAGACAACCTTCACATAAAAAAGTCTTCATGTCCTTCCCTTCTATCCCTCCATCCATACCTGTTCACCTATAGTTTAATAATGAAAGCACACTGAACTTTTGCCTATAACCACCACAATCCATGTGTGTGTGTGTGTCTGTGCGTGTGTTAGTGTGTTATATACATTGCATGTATGCACATTGCCATGGCTACGAGCCGTGCGAACTGGCGTCATCACTTGAAAACCACCTTCGGAGTGAGCAAAGAGAGGAAGAAAAGGACTCAAAACAGCTCAGCTCTGTTCAGTACCTGCATACACTCACTCTCCCACACACACACACACACACACACACACACACACACACACACACAGATCTTCGGCCACTGGCGTGGTCTCATATTCCGCTGAGCTCTCCCTGTTTGTTCTACAGGGTCCAATGGCCCAGAAGGAGAGGAGGGTAGATGGTAGGAAGGAGAGTGGAGCAGAGAAGGCCTGACTTCATGCATATTTATGTGACTGGATCTGAACGTGTTCCTGAGAGTGTTGGCGTAGTCTGGCCTGAATCATCGCTGCCTCTAAGGGAAGGAAAGAATGAGGAGAGGGGAAGAAATATTGACAGTTTTCTGTGTCACCTCACATCATCATCTTCTGCTCATGAAATCACCGCTGCGAGATGACAGGGTTGCTCCTTTGATCCACATCTGAAGTAAACTGGATTATGAACAGTCTTGAACTTTTGACAGTGCGCTTTTGGAGCATTTTGGAGCAAGACTGCTCTCGTATTGAAATGGCCGTGGTTATTATCATTGAACTCTTTGTTTATTTTGAAGGCGAATGAGGTTTGGCTCGTGTCTTGTATCCTTCAGAACTGACTGCCTCACGATGGCTGACAACAACCGGTTGCCACAGGATACAGGATTCAAAGTGATCATGTGATCTGACTCCCTCACCAGTTCCCTGCCATCTCTTGTAGGTAAGTCACGTGACTTTATTAACGAGTTGTTCCAAAGTCGTCGATGAAAGCTCACAAACATGGCAAATGTAGCCATTAGCAACACAATTAGACACAACAAACAAATAAATAAAATAAGAACATTTAAAATGTTGAAAAAGCGGTAATAGTACAAACAGTACAGCACCACTCTCAAAAGCCCCCGCTTTCACACATCCACACAAATCATGTGGCGGGAATCAGCCAAATGTGCAAAAACACCTTTATTAATGACTGAAGGACAAAAGTGGAGGGCAGAAAAAGGAGCTCTGAATACACTGCTGACTGATGCAAAGGTGTGTGTGTGTGTGTGTGTGTGTGTGTGTGTGTGTGTGTGTGTGTG